TAAATCGAGATATATAAAACTAGCCCATGGTTCTTCGATCTTTCATGATAAAACATAAAGAAACGAGCACCATAATGCTTAGTAAATACGGAAAACTCAATTTTATCATTTTAAATGCCAAAAATAGTTGAAAAACAAAATTAACACGACTAAAAATGTCTAGAAATAAAAATAAGTATCTGAAAACAAAAAAAAAATCAGAAAACATTTTGGAAATTATCTAAACTATTTATTGGATGTAGACAAAACGAAAGCAGATGAATAAATTATTAAAACAAGTTAATCTACTAAAGTCCTAACTGTTACACAAATATTATCTTTTTGATCCACTGGTAGTTGTTGAACTGTTGCTTCCATTTGTTGCTGTATCAGGATGTGGTTGTTTTTTTGTTGAGGAAATTGTTCGTTGTTTAGCGAGAAAAGATTGATTTTCATGTGATTTAAGACGTTCTTCAAATGAACGTCGTTGAAATGTACTACCCTATTAAGTGAAAATAGGTCATTATTCTACCTCACTAATTATAAGACTAATAGCAGTGATTTTCCCACCACTTAAGAAGTTATTTCTAATAAACAACAATATTGCTCTTTTAGAATCGTGTCTGATAGAAGAACGTGTATTCGTGAATAATTATTTTTTCAGATATACGTTTGAAGAAACTTCAATTCCAGTTTCTATATACGTACCAATGAATACCATGCACTAATCAACAGTTTTTCTTGATCTTCTCGTGTTTCTCTAAGTCGTTCATATTCTCTCTAAAAACATTGAAATAAAGTTTGCTCTTTTTTTAATCAAGAAATAAGTTGAGTTTATACAACATACTTGTAAATCACTTATGCATTGATCTTTATCTTTTAATTCTTTACGTAACGATTGTATTTCCGTATTACTTGAGAGATTGCTACGCAGATCCACTGATCGAATCACCTAGTTAAAAAAGCAGAAATTAATAATTTAATTTCCAACGTTTGACTATCACTCACTGTTCTCGCTTTTTCTAAATATCGAATATATTTTTCGTTTATACTATTAATCTCATTTGCATTTGTTTTTAATAACATATCTTTCTCATTTAACTTTTGATCTAATATACAAAGAAGATAAAGTTTCAATCCGAGCAGTATCTACTAAATGTGATACCTGCAATATCATAACGTTTTTGTAATTCGTCTAACTGGCTTTTTACTTGTGTTAATTCATCTTCACAACGTGCTGTTGTGCGATTTAACGTTTTTTTCAGTTCAATAAGTTCGCTACTATTCTCACTAATAACTGATGCATCTTTAAGTGTTGCTTCTAATTCAAGAATCTTTCGATTTGACATCCTGAATAACATACAAGCATGTTTTCACATTCCCATAAAAGAACCATGTACTATACGAACCATAAATCGTTATTCAATTGATTATTACGGTCTTTCAATTCGTCACAGTTTGCTTGTAATAATTGAACTTGTTCACTATTATTATCTTCAGTTTGTTTAAGTTTAAGAACTTTATTTTCATGTTGTAAACGAATAAATCGTTCACTAAA